TGTATAGATATAAAAATAAGTCACTATTATTCCAGTTTTTTAATATATCTACAAAAAATGTTTAAACAATTGCGGTATTACCTGTCCATAGATAGCTGGGCAACAAGGGTGACATCAGTGTTGTCAGAGCTCGGCTCATACTCATAGTGGAGAAAATAAAGATGCGTTCGATGAACGGTGAAGCGCTCTCGTCGAAACTCGTAACAGGGGTCATCCTCGTCAAGCTCTGAGAGAGTCTTTTGCAGCTGCAGGCACAGGAAAGATAACAATTGGTTGGCAAAGGATTGCTAAATTCTCACCTGAGAAAAATCCCACCAGTGTTCCCCGTTTACATCAGGAGAAACCAATTAAAAATCAGGCGGGTGCAAATAAAGAAAATCATCAAGTAAACGTCCGGAAACATTTTTAATCAAAATCTGTTACTTTAAACAGAATTTAACTGAAATAAAATGAGGTTTTTATGCATCCATGAAACATCCATGAACATTGAATTTTTAAATAATAATAAAAAAAATAAAATCTTTTAAAATCTAAAGCTCTTAACAGGAGAAGAGGCGCAAGTGAAGTTAGACACTGTCTTCGGACAAAATGCAGTAATTTCTAAATGTTTTAAATCAGGTTGGGTCCGGATCCGCCAGCAGGTGGGTCCAGATCCGGACCGTGGTCCACTAATCTGTGACCTCTGACCTAAACCATGCTCCACACGTTCTCTGAAAAAGACCCATTCATTTGAAGGATTGCTATAGTTTAAATGTTGCTGCATGCCATTTATAAGCTAAGCACCGCTTCCCTCTAAACAATGAGGAATGTTTTAATGTATTTTTGTCATTTTGTGATAAACTTTTTTAAATTGAAATTCTAAAGAATCCTTCGTTATCTTGTTGGTAGAATGTTTAAAATAGTTTAGCTAATAATAGAATTCAGGCCAGGTCAGACCAGTTGATGCAACTTTTTAATCTCTGATACCCTTTCATTTTTCATTCCATAGAGAGGCTGCGGCTATGCAGGGTGAGCAGATTTTCTTTCAATTACGTCCCAGTGCACCACGAATTAAAAATCATTAGACTAGGAAAGATTTTTATTTTTAAATGTTGTGGCTACAAAGCCAAGTCAAACTTTATGACCAAACTTCTGAGCATCTATAACCAGAACAGATGGATGATTTTATAGGCTTATATTACAAATATAATGGGGACTAAATTTAAAGAAAAGGGAAACGCATCAATAATCGCTGTGGGAGAGTACTGGGTGAGGCAGTGATAGGGGATTCTCAGGGAGAGATCTGTGAAGTTTTTTTTTATTTTCATAAACAGGGGAGAGTGATAAGCTACGGCCACCTGCACCGTCTGCCCCAAGTTATTGTTTTTTTGTGAGGCTCAAAGATAATCACTCTTTTACTTTATCCATTTTCTGTCCTCCTGAACGTCGTAGGGAAGCGGCTTTTCCAACCGTTGCATTGCTAAATTCTCCTGAGTGGTGCACGACTTTACACGAGTGAATAAAGTGAATGTGATTGGTCGATTATCAAGGGGGCAGGACTGTTATGGCGGAAGGTTCGCAAGCAAGTTTGATTGTGTCCGGTTTCTCGGAAGCATCTTGCTAACCAGTTAGCAACT